CTGACGTTTTTTGATAAATGAACAAAAAAAAGATACACAAACAAGATGAAAAGAAGAATTTAGCCAAATAGATAGGCCTATCAATGATACTTTAAACATCACAACTTGATCCAATTATCACATATTTGGATCAGGTGTTTATGTAATTAGTTTTGGATTTTGTAACATGAATTTGAATAATAATAAAAATAAAAAAATAAAAGTATTATTATCATCATCTAGAATTGTCACATGCAAAGCGCATGCACGCTTACTAGTTTCCCAAAATGTGTCACTTGTACGAATAGGAAAGCCTTGGATGCTATAGTGCATCCATTGCACTTAGTCACTTCTCTAATTTAATCTCAAGCAAGTCTCTAATAAAATCAACAAACCCTACATTAAAAACTTGTAGATGATGCTCCAATGAGGACTACTCTAGAATTATATACTTTAGCTGATTTGTTTCTTGAAGAGGGAAAGACAAAAAGAATTGGCTTCAAATTTCTAAAATAGGGCTCACCACCGGAATCTTGATTAAATTTCTAATATTCATATAAATTTGCTCATAGAAGTTCATCGATAATGAAAAGATGCTCCTGTAGTGACTTCAAAACCATTAGACATGGCAAGATAAAATATAACAAAAAAAATTTCATAGTACTCATAATTCTTCAAATTAATTTTTGTTTTTCTAATTTGTGTTTCCAAAGAAGGTCTCCAACAACATTTTCAAGCTTGCATTGCACCTCTTTGGTAAAATTATCATCACATGTTCTCATTAAAATGTTTGATTTTCTATTTACACAGGGAAAAAAAGTATGGCTCATCATACTCCAAGAGAAGCAAAAGCAATGCTTAGCAATGAATTTATTTTTTAAGACGTGTTCTCCATGTTTGAGCATGGGATTCAATTATGTAATCTTCAAGTCAGTGTAACATATGTTTAAATGGAATTTTTACATCATCTCATGGAGAGGAAACATTAGATCTGTTTATCTCTATCATGTCAACCGTTTTACCTTTCATATACCATATGATAAATTTGATAAAAAAAATTGACAACTTTGTTCTGCATTGAGTGGTTTGGTATGAGTCCCATAAGCTAATATTCAAAACAAGGGTTGTGGAATGGTTTTATGCTTCCTTCAAACTACTATAACAATATTCATTCATGGACTTACAATATCTAAGGTTTAAACTATTGTTAAGGAGTTTTCAAGTTAGTAGTCACTACCAATTAAAAAGAAAAGAATTAATTACAAACACTTTATTATTGACAAAAAATTATAGACACTTGGCCTGTCCTTGGCAAAGGTTTCTTAGTAAATTGGATGTTGATTGGTTAGGTGTCTTGAGGCCTTTTTCTTTTCATTTGTATGATGTTATTGCATCTCCTAAGTATCAAATCAGGCTAATTCCAAGTATATTTAATGTTTAAGGGGACGTTAACCTTGTTGGATGTAATTGTAAAATGGATGAATTATTGGGGACCATTTGTTTTCTATTGCTAATTTTCTTTTATTGGTTATGACATGAGGTTTCTAATTAGGTCCACCTATGTTTCTTGCCAACAATTGAGAGTTGTTGGTAGAAGACATTAGATTCTTTTTCATCTAAAGTCAATAGGTAAAGAGGGGATCATCTTTGGCCCCCAATTCAATAGTTTTTGTATTTCAACCAACATATGTATAAACTCATCAAAATAGCTAATTTTCCACATTAAAACCATGTTGTCTAAGTTTTTTGGGTTTATAGGTGGGGCCCACACTGAAACATCATCATGTCCCCATGCTTTAATGCCCGCGTAGATTCTAAACATGGTAAATATGCATACGTTAGCCTATGTTAGTAGGGACAAAGTTAGGATTGCAAGACTGACTTTTTATAAATTAAATAAATTTGTGTTATAAGTGAACCCCACATATAAAATGTATTAATGGCTATACATTTTGATGCCTATTTTGGTCCCACATGTGGTACATATGCATATGTCAACCTATATCTTGGCAGAGCCAAAAAAAAATTAATAAGTATTCGAGTTCTGTATTTTGTTTATGCACTTGTTTTTTACAACTCAAACAAAAAGTGCAAAATTGATTTATTAATTGCACCACATTCAACCAAACAAGAAAAGTGCAAATGTTAATGCAAAACTAAATCAGATTTACACGGTTTAGATTTGCACTCCTATGCATTTGAATTAGTGCAAATCAACTAAACACAACCTAAAGAAAAAATGAAAAAACAMAACATTGCCTTGATGGGTCAAACTTTAAGGTTTTTACCATTAAAGGATAGCAAAATGATTTATTACTTAACTATCTATATCTATGTGAATAAACTAATTGGGTTAGGGTATCACCCATTAAAACTTTGACTGGGTTAAAATAATAGTTGTAAAGTTTAATCCACACCTAATCTGCTTTATCATTACTCCTTTTTTGGCGGGTTCATTTTTTTGAGAAGCCATTTACCTAGTAAATGCATTTGCCTAAATAAATGTTTTCTTGGGTAAGTGCATTTTATCCATGTTTTTTTTATTTGGAAATTAAACCTAATTTAATCTCTTAAATTAAGTAACAAATTTATATAAAAAACCTAAACTTATGTCATAAATAATAGATGTTAAACAAAAATTATTAAAATACTAACCCCATACTTAGCATTGAGTGGTCATTCTCTATTTATATATTAAGTTATAGGCTTGGAAATTTGACCCATGCATGTGTATGCCCATAGGCTTAGCATAAACATTATCGACGACCATTGTTTTAAAAGGCTTAAGCCTTGAGGTGTGAAGCATACGCCTTGAGGTGAGATACACAAATTTTGCCTCAATGCTTAAGCCTCACAACTTTGATGTGAGGCTTAATCCTTTGTTAAATGAGGCATAAGCTTCAAGTATCAATGATTACTTAGTGATTTAATGCAAAGAAAATATATTTTTATAATTTAAAACATATAAAAAATACTTCAATAATTATGGGCCAAATAAAAAAGTAAAATTGAAAAACCAATAAGGCAAATCAAGTTCTACTAGTTTTTCTTAGTGTTTTAAGAGAGTTCAATGCAAAAAAGGACTAATCAAGTTATTAGTTTCTTTTGGATAAATCAAGTAAGATTTTTTCTTATTATTCTAAATGTAATGTCCCAAGTTTGTTATTTTTCTCATTTATTCTCCTAGTGGATTTTTTTAAAATTTATTATTATTATTATTATTATTATTATTATTACTACTATTATTATTATTATTATTATTTGCATAGATAAAATCAACTAAGTATTATATGGATGATTATATTGATATGTTTCTTTTCTTTTAAATTGTTTTTTTACATGAAACGTAAAATGTTTATAATTGTTTGTTTATTAGTTAATTATTATTTTATTAGTTAAGAAAAGTTAAAATAAATTCACAAGATAGACAATTAGACAGCAAATTGAAAACAAAATCTTAAAATTTTATTGGATATGAAATTTGATGTAAACAATTTTGTTTATATATGAAATAATAAAACGAAATTGAAAAAATCATAATAAAATTGGAATAAAATAATATAATAAAATTGAAAATAAAAATTTGTATACATATTATTATATAATTATAATTACATATAATACATATTATATATATTTATATATATGTGGGCCATGCCATGATGGTCCATGGGCCCCAAAACCCTAGCTCGGCATGACTAAGGGTAGGGTTGTTCATAAGAAGACCCAACCCGACCAAACCGACCAACTCGGGCCAACCCAACCCGAGTCGGCCGGGTTTTCTTCAGCACCGGTCATTTTCGGGTTATGAAAAATCATAAACCGATGATTCGGTTCAGTTTCAGTTTTCATGTGTGAAAACCGAAACGGACCCGAACCAAATCGACTTAGTAGTTAGTTCCTAGTTAGTAGTTACAACCTAATTAGTTCCTACTTAACTAAGTTGTCTCTATCCTAATTACAACCTACTTAACTAAGTTGTCTCTATCCTAATTACAACCTACTTAACTAAGTTGTCTCTCAAACTCTGCTCCCTCCACAACTGGATCCATGGATGGGCCACAAAACATTAAGGAAATGATAGTTTCCTTTGGGAATGTAGAGCAAAAAATGAACACTTGAACAACAACTAAGTAGAGCCGAAATCGACCCAAACCGACTCAAACCGATCAGGTTGGTTTTGCTTAACACAGGGTTGGTTTCGGTTTCAATTTCAGGTAACCCAACCAGGTCGGGTCGGTTGGAAAAACATCAGTAAACCGACCCAACCCGACCCGTGAACAACCCTAGCCAAGGGTTTAGGCCAGGCCTAACATGTCCACTCATTACAATTCCTGAAGCTGTGCTGGGCTATGTGACCAGGGGTGTCAATTGGATTGGATTTGGTCCAATCCGATCCAATCCAATGTGAGTCTATTATAAATGGACCAGGTCCAATTCAATCCAGTGAATGTTTTGAACCAATTTGAACCGATCCAAGTCAATGTCTGAATCATTCAATCTGTTCAAATTCATTTCGACTTAGATTGGTTTCAACCCAAACCCAGTCCATTGACACATATATTCTTACCTTATATCTATCAATGGACCAGATATTGGCTTAATCCAAATCAATCCAATATAAATTTGATATGGATAGACTAGGTCCAATCTAATCTAATTAATATTTTGGACCGATTAATCCAATCCAATATGTCTGATTGGTCCGTCTAGTCCGTCTAAATTGACTTTGGACTGGACGGGGTCTAACCCAAAACCGGTCCATTGACACCCTTATGTGTGATCCAGCCCACTTTACAACTCTACGCCACTATCACCCATAAATCGAATGGAATCGGTCCAATCGGATAGGTATGATTCCACAGTCCACATTCGATCCAATTACAAACTGCTCGATTTTGGATCAATTCGTTTCACCAAAAAGAAAAAAACCGGATCATTCTGAACCGGACCAAAATCGAATCGGAAAAACGGATACGCCAGATACGGGATACCATTTGCAGCCCTATAAGACGCTCCTCCAAGATCGTAGAAAAATGGTAGTCTGCGCCAAAGCCAGAAAGAAATTGAACAGAGAAAGATCAAAGACCAACAGAAGCCATGGATTCTACTGCTCGGAAAAGTGGAGGTCTTTTCGAAGGGCTCTACAGAGTCATCATGCGCCGGAACTCTGTATACGTTACCTTCATCATTGCCGGCGCTTTCGTCGGAGAACGGGTAGGGTTTCTGCCCAATCCCCGCGTTTTTCTTTGATTGTTTATTTGCTTGCTCTAGAAGGCCATCGATTGGGTTTTATGCAAGTATTGTTTTTTCATTTGGTCTTGCTTCTTCTTAATTCAAACACGCCTTACTGTTTCTAAATACTCAATGTTTTGTTGTTCAACTGAACCTTTACGATCTGGAATGAATGTCTATGTGCACAGTTTCTATTTCACGATTGAAATCAAGCTGGAATATACTCAGTTGCAAATTCCTAAATCTTGGGTTTTGGTAATTTTGTAGTATTATTTACAATTTTACTCGTTTTGTTTGATACACGGCGGCCGGGATCTCATTGACGTTGGTAAATGCCCTCGTAAGGTTGATTCTTAAAAGATAATTAGGTTTCCAGGGGGTTTGCATTTTAGCTATACTTCCTCAGCAGATGATTTAATCAATTGTTTTTTTTTTGGTTTGTTGAAAAAAGGACGCTTTCGATTATTTATTTATTTAGGGTAACTTACGAAGTGATGTTTTTGGATGCAGGCAGTGGACTACGGAGTTCATAAGCTCTGGGAGTACAACAATGTTGGGGTATTATATTTGCCGCCTATATCGTTCTGCATAGTGAATAAGTTCTGTTGTATTTTTCTTAAACTGCTAACATGTATGTGCTTGTATTATGCTTGTCCTTTGTAAAGGTTATACAATTATAAATATAAACAGTGCCTATGTTGCTGGTGTTAAATCGATTCTTGTAAATTCTGTTGAAGCATCTTATAACATTCATGAATTTGGTTGGTTCTATTTATATTTATAGCCATTACCTTAAACTTGCCTTCATGATACATGGGATCAATGAAAAAATTTAGGCAACATGTTTCCTAGGAGGTATGGGAGCCCTTGGTTGTTTATGAATTATGAAATACATGCTTTCATTTCTTCACATTGTTCCCCAAAACATTTGCTCCCAATTTAGCCTTTGTTTTGCTAATGCATCTGCCAAGTGATTAGCTGCTCTTGGTGTCCAAAGAAGCTTCGCATTTATATCTTTAAGTAAATTCCTGATTTCCTTCATGATATTTCTATACAATCATGAGCCCGGTTTGTCTTGTTTCAGTCAGCTGATAACTGTTGTTTATGAATTATGATATACATGCTTTCATTTCTTCACATTGTTCCCCAAAACATTTGCTCCCACTTTAGCCCTTGTTTTGCTAATGCATCTTCCAAGTCATTAGCTGCTCTTGGTGTCCAAAGAAGCTTCACATCTATATCTTTAAGTAAATTCCTGATTTCCTTCATGATATTTCTATACGATCATGAGCCTGGTTTGTCTTGTTTCAGTCAGCTGATAACTGTTGTAGAGTCACCATCTATTATCAGATTTGAAGTGTTAAGTAACTTCCCAATATTAATTGTTTTGCAGCCATCAAACTTGAGTTTGACCCACCTATTAGTGGGGAAATCCATCTATTAGCTTTCACAAGACTGCCGAATCTGCTAGCTGCTTCCACTCTCTCATAATGTCATCCATTGAGAAATCTTTAATCAATGTAGTTACTTTAAGCCAATTTGTCACCTTGATCTTCACATTTTCGAGTTCAGGTCAGCTACCAACACACAGTGCCAACAACATCCCAATTGGCCATTGCGTCTGTACATTGGGAACATTTCCCCATGACAACAAGGGAGATGTTCCCAATGTGTGGCTGCAGTGGACTGTTGGGACAGGGTTGGTAGCAGATCCCTGCCCCACATTTCCTGCATTCTTTCCTTTGGCTGACTCACCTCCTTGAATAATCTCGAGTTTCTTTCTTCCTGAACCATGCATAGGATAACAACCCTACAATGGAGTTCCCCCCTCTTTGAGGAACAAAGGGCAAACTTGAGGAAAGATGTAGTCACTACCACATTCTTCTTGAATAGCCCGTCAAGCATGCTGATTTTTTCACATATGGCTTTCAATAAAAAGAAGCAACTGTTTGATGGTACAACAGAATGCCAGAATCCTTTTTTTCCTGGAAAGATATTGGGTTTGGGGAAGATGTGAGTGAGGGGAATAGATAACTGGTTGAGAAACTGGAAGAAGTATCCAACAATGAGGTTTTGAAGAGGAGTAAACCTCCAAAAGGCTATTCTGTTCCCATTCCCAAGGCCATAGCTTATATGAGGGACAATAACATGGCAAGTGGAAATGATACTTTTTCATGGTTTGCCAAGTAAAATTAAATGTATCGTTGGGCTACTAATTTACTACTCATCTGTTGGAGTTGACTACATACTTGCTGCAAAAAACTAATGCCCATAGTTCCTCTAAGAGATGCACCCATATCTTGCTCCAAAATTTCCAGAACTGAACTTCCAAAACGCTCTTCTGTTTCAAGTCTCAAGGATATATCTTGAAGGAGGGATAGAAACATGGCAAGTCGAAATGATACCCTTTCGTGAGTTCACCAAGTAAAATTGATGCATCTGTTAGGTTACTAATTTACTATCCATCTGTTGGAGTTCAATCCATACGTTGTGAAAAACTAATACCCATAGGTGTTTTTTCCTGATGGAAAACCACTTGCCCAATAGTGAGATTTTTCCTATAAGAGATCCATCCGCATCTTGCTTTAAATTTTTCCAGAAGTGACCAATCCACTTATTTTTATGTAGGACATGGAGTTGGATGCCACTTTGTACTTTGTGCTAGTTTTTTGTAGTATTGTTTCATATTATAGTTTCATTTTGCTATTCCCACTAATGATAAAAATAATGTTATTCCTTGTACTTGGCTTCTGTTTAGATTACACTTTGAAGAGAAAAGTGATCTTTGCACAAGGAACTTTATTTTGTCTAGATCTATCTTGCCAGTTTTTGTGGTATTTTATATGCTTTACTTTGATATTATTATTTCCTACATCTTGGTTTCCTTTTACATGACACTTTGAGCAGGAAAATAAGCTGTCTTAGATATGTCAGCACTTGAAACACTAGGTTTGTAACATAATTCTGATCCACAGTAGTAAAACTCCTAGAAATTAAGATACAATTAATGACGGAAAATGCGAACCCATGTTTCCGATTTAAATCGTTACACTTAATCTCTTTCTGAAACATATTTTTGAAACTTACTACTATTTGTTTTGTAAATCTCACCATTCGCCCAAGACAATTCCAATCAAATTGAACAGGACCTAGTTCCATACTTTTATCACTTTTTGTTTCTTTTAATTATCTTCTGAGGTTTTAACAGACACTACAAAAATATTAATTTGGATATCTAAACCTGTTTAAAGATCCTTTTAAGTATATTTTCCATCCATATGTAGGCTAATTAGCCATTATTTGTTTGTTTGTTGTTTTGTAACTCAAACTTGATTATAACATTCAATTCAATGCCTAGTGTACAAGGGGTAAACTTCACTAGAAGAAAAATACAAGTGGGTAACTTGGTGGCATCAATTACTTGTAGGCCTGTCAATGGTACCCGAAAAATGAGGCCCGGTCCAACATCCAATCCGATTATCTCAGATTTGGCTGATGTATTCAAGGTTCAAAAAATTGACACGTATCGGCCCGTATTGTCCGATACGTATCGTATCGGGACTCGGGAGCTTCCTGATATGCCCCTACAGAGGGTGTATCAAGGTTCTGACCAGTTCAGGGGTAGACGGACATTTAAACTGGCCCCTCTGAACTGGATTTGAAAAAAAAACTAAAAAAAAACATACTGCCTGATACGCCGGCATATCGATATTTTGAACCTTGGATATATTTATGTAATCAGATCGGGTTTGGATTTGACTCCATCCAATCTGACTAAAATCCGAATCTGATTATATCATAATATTTATTGGTTTTAATATATAAATTTTATATAATCATATTTAAAATTATAAAAAATATATTTTATATATTATATTATATATGAATCTATATATATAATAAATTCAGTATGTATGTTACATTAATTTATTATATATAAAAGTTGAAAACTAATAAATTTATTTTTTGTATTTTAAAAAATTAAAGCGGAGTCGGATTAAATCCGAATCCAATCTGAATCTGAGTCTGAGGTCTTTAAAACCGACTGGATTTGGATAGAAGCTTTCCATAATTGGATCGGAGTTGGATTTTGCTGAATCCGATCCGATTACAGCCCTAATTACTTGAAAGAGATCAAGAAGCTATAATAATGAAGAAGACAACAGGTTTAATAATATTCTAAAATGCAATTGTGTTGGATAACTACACAGCATCTAAATTAAATGAAGCACACTAGCACAGAGAACAGTAAGTTTCTTTTCTACCATGCAATTGTCTTGTACAACTGACAATCATAGATGCACATAGAGAAGCAGCATAGCGTGTCAATGCAATCAATTAACATGATATTATTCTTGGATTCTATTGTTCCATCTGTTTTTAGCGGTACCCAGACCCTGGTTGTAATCCTATGTATATGCTTGTTTATATTAATGAAATACTTTCTTTTATCTATAAAAAACATGATATTATTCTTAGGTAAGTAAAAAAAAATGCAAAGGTAGATAATTGATTATCAGAGAAGGAACTGGCTGGAGTTCTTGACTTTTAACTACTTTGATAATATTGTCTTTCATAGCTGACCTCGGATAGTTTTTTTTTTTTTCCTGATAAATGAGCTGACCTCGGATAGTTAGGGTTAGGATTTTGTTGAATCGAGAATTGTTGTCATTCCTGTGCGGCCAAGTTTGGGATCTAACATCATATTTATATAATTTCCGAACTGTTTTTTAAGCTTGCCATTCTCGGTTTTTAACAGAAAATTGATGTTATTCTAATGCAGAAGCGGTTTGAGGACATTCCAGTACTGGGAACAAGGCAGTCTGAAGAATGAAGTTTTGTATCCCCTCTTTTTTCTGTCCGTGTTCTGAACCATGGAATTTGGACTGAATATCCACAAATTTCAATCAGAAATTTTGATGATTTCCGAAACATCTTGTATTGACTAGTGATCATTTAATAAGTGCCAACTTGTTGATTCACGTAGCTTTATTTGCAAAATATAGCTACGAATTTATTGTTTTGGGGTGTATACTATCCTTTGTCTTTGCATTGTAATGCGTTGATTCAGTTTGACTCGTGACAATTTGAATAAGGACCCTTCAGAAGTCAATGACTTTAAAAATCCGGATTTTCAGTAGTGTCAATGTGGCAGTAAAGCTCATCTATTATAGTTCTGCATAGATCTCCTCAGATGAAAATATTTATTGATGATAGTACCTGAATGCTATAGCCAAGTTGTGTCTACAACATAAATGATAGAACATGGTGATGAGAGGAAGATTTATGATGAACGTGGTTGCACTTTCATGTACTGCGTAGGCTTTGCTTCTGTTACATTCACTCTTCAATTATAGAAGCAAAGCCTACGCATTCATTTTAAGAATCTAAGCATCCTTTTTTTTTTTGTCATACTGTGGTTTGCCGTGTAGAGATGTTCAGGGTAAGTATCTTATGCACATTTTCTTTTAATGTTGGAATTGCGTTTTACCTTTTTTGTTGTTTAAGTTTGGTTAATCACACATCCTTGTGGACAGGATTTTGTGAATGGTGTCTTGTGCACCTTTTGTTCAATGGCATCTTGACTAGAAATTTAGAATTTTCTTTCTCTGAAACGTCCTATTTAGATTTAGGTAACTGTGGTTTGGATACCATATGAAGCGAGGTGATCTGAAGCGTCCTATTTGGTGTTAGAGCTGTAAATCTGGGCATACCGCCCGTGGCCCAGTACAGCCCGGCATGACAGCACACGGATGGCATGGAGGTATGGGCCATGCTGGGTTTGGGTTTTCATGCCGGCACAGGCCTGTGGCTCTGCCCGATCCATATATATATATATATAATATTTTTATTTTTAATTTTATTCCAATTGTATTGTAATTTTTTAATTTCATTTTATTATTGTATATATAAACAATTGTATACATCAAAATTTATATAAAATAAAATTTTAAGATTTTTTTTGTCTATTTTGTTAATTTACTTTTAAATTATTATTATTATTTTTCAAAATAAAAAAAAATATACCTCTCATGGCTTGGTCTAGTGGCCCAAGGTTTGGTCTGCAGACCAGCTTGACTTGCGGCACTGCACAGAATAGCTCAGGCCCGCATTGGCGGTGCCGGACTGGTCTAAACTCTGAAGTATCCCAGGGGTAGCAAATACGGCTTGGCCCAGCCTGTGGGTCAGCACAGCACGACCCGATTTACACCTCTTTTTGGTGTATAGACCTTGCTAAGCCTAGACAATAAGGGTTGAAAAGGGGTGTTTTGGTACAATAGCTTTTCTCTGCCATTACATTTTGGGTTGATCAATACAATTTTGTAAGAAGTATGTATTGCTACATCATATACGAATTATTTTAACTAAAAAAATACATGTATGTGAGAAACAGAGAAATGAATAAATAGTAAGTTGATGAGCATAATAAACGGCTGCCTTTTTTAATGAATGAATAACATATGGGCTTTTCACATGTTACTGCAGCGATGAACAGAGAAAATGCCAAATAGTCACTCCATTTATTTTGCTTTTGGTTGATGATAAGTTGACTACCGATCATTTGCACCAAGAGGGGGAAACTAGAAACAAAGACAAACTAGGGCTGTTCACGGGTCGGGTTGGGTCGGTTTATTGAGGTTTTTCCAACCGACCCGACCTGGTCGGGTTACCTGAACTTGAAACCAAAATCGACCCAGTGTTAGGCAAAATCGACCTGGTCGGTTTGAGTCGGGTTGGGTCGGTTTTGACTCTAAGTTCAACCATGTTTGACAGAAACTCAACTGCAGTATATATGTGGGGACTGTGGCACCACAGTATGTGAGGTAGTGAACACGGGAAAAGCCTTGTTTTTGATAAACAGGATATACCTCTAATCCATAGTTTGGATTTTGGAGAGGAGAAGAGCAAAACCCATATATAATAATAATGCCTATTATAGAGATATATATGTTATATATCTTTTCAGTAATTAAGTTTTATCTCCAAAACCACCAACCTATCCCTTTGATTATATATTCATTTTGAAGTTTAATTGTCTTAATTGGGATTTGGGTGAATTCTGTAGGGAGACTTCAGGACAGTTAATTACAATTATTACTCTAACCAATGTAATAGATTTGAAGAGGGACAATTAGTTATGGGGGCTTAATTAATTTAAACTTCATAAATGGACAATTAGTTGGTTTGGTTCGGGTCAGTTTCAATTTTCACACAAAAAAACCGAAACTAATCCGAACCATCGGTTTATGATGTTTTACAACTCGAAATCGACCGGTGCTGAAGATAACCCAGCCGATTTGGATTGGGTCGGTTCGGGTTGGTCGATTTGATCGGGTTGGACCTTCTTATGAACAGCCCTAAGACAAACCAAGAAACTTCAAAGATATTGTGGTTATAGGAAGAAGAATATCTTTTTTCTTAGTATTTCTGAAGACTATTTGATTGCACTACAGGGTCAACAAAATATATTAGGATCAAATCTGTGGATATCTGAACTCAATTCAATAACATATTTACGGATCTAGATTTAATCCATTTACATTTGTACCAGATATGGATATACTCTAACAAATAAATGCCTTTGAAAGAAAAGAAGAAATTGGAACCTAGTTTGGCCAGGCATGGGATAAGGCATAGTTACAAGGAGTCTAATGTTTGAACAAGTACCAACAAGAACAATGAACCATTCCCCAGGACTGATCTCTTCATCAATAATTTGGTGGATCATCAGTTTCACCTCAGTACAAGTTGCAGCAGAAAACCCTAGTTTTAATGCTATATCTCCAATGTCCTTCTCAGCTTCATAGAGCTAGTTCTCTCTGTAACCGTATTCACCAGTGGTAGAAGCATCAACATGGTTAAAGGTGACCCGGGGGCCATTAATGCCTCCAAAACATTCTTGCAAATTGTCAAGTTCTTGCACATTATAACCATTACCATGGTTTTTTGAAAACGAACTGGTGACTGAACCGGTTAGGGTCTGGTAACTGGTTCAAATGGTCCGACCGTTTGATCTGAATGACTGGTCCGTTCTGACAAAAAAATAAAAAAATTAAAAAAATTGGAAAACTATCAAAGCCGTTCGAACGGTTCAAACGGTTAACCGGCCGGTTCAGTGGTTTGTTGACCAAAATCAACAGCTTTGGGGGAAAAAGCGGGTTCAGGGGAAAACGGAACTGGTCAGGTGACTGGTTCCCAGTTTTTCCAGTCCGACCATCCGGTCCGGTCCGGTTTTGAAAACCATGACCATTATTATAGACCAAAGTGTCAATGAACTCACCATAAGCTCTTCCAGGTACGGGAGCTCTCCATCCCTGAATATAGGATTGGTTTCATTGGACGAACCGACCTAAGTGCAATCGAATGGATGGATCTATTATCTCTGCTAGCCAATCCTATTTTCCGATGTTTTCAAAACCAGATCGAACCGGATGGTTGGATTGGAAAAATTGGGAACCGGCCATATAATCGGTTGTGTTTTACCCCAGAATCGTCTTTTGGCCAAAAACCATTGATTTGGTCAACGAACCTTCTTTGTACTTTAGTTAGGGCTGGTAAATTTTCAACCCAACCCGTTAACCTGCCCAACCCACCCATTAATTAATGGGTTGGGTTGTATCCATTTTGTCTTGGATTATAGCGGGTTGGGTAACCCAATAAGAGGACATTTGATGGGTTAGGACGTGGTTATCCAGCGGGTAACCATTAATTTATCTCTCTCTTTCTCTCTCCCCCTCTCTCTCTCTCAAGTATCCTATGCACTACTTTCCAATTCTTAACCGATACCCACTATCTAAAACTAGGGAATGACCTTAAGTGGATTCCAATGGAATGCATTCCTTAGTACAAAAATTGCAATGTAGTTACAATGATACAACCTCTATAGAAACAATTCTTAGTCAAGCATCTTTTCCAACCAAGGTTCAAAGTATCGATACATATCGGCCAATACGTATCGTTCTGGGACCCCTCCGATATGCCCCTACAGTGGGTGTATCAGGGGTCTGACCGATTCAGGGGATGGAGGAGACCTAAACCGCCCCCCCTGAATCAATTGCAAAAAAATAAAAAAACGTTTAAAAATGCAGTATCAATTCGCTTGATATGCCCCTACTGGCGTATCGGGCATATCGATATTTTGAACCTTGTTTCCAACATCACTCCTCTATAATTCAACCATTCGTGCCTATACTCGGTTAGGTACCAAGGAAGAACTCTTATGATAAATTTCAAGTGTTTTGCAGAATTATCATGACTTCTGATTGAAAAATGTATTTATGAAAGATTTCAAGAATTGGATTGGAATATGATTTGTATGTTGGGACTTCATTGATTGATGTACGCGTAAAATGTGGTAAACAGGGCAATGCTCATAAACTGTTTGACAATATGCATGTGAAAAACGTTTCATGGAATGCTTTGATTGTATGTTAAATGAAAATGGAGCAATGCAAATTGAGGATGTGTTGTTCGAAAGGATGCCAAAAGGAAGGATTGCTTCTTGGACTACTAGCTATGATATCTCTGTGCACTTTTGTGAGCTCTGAGTTTGAGGAGATGTTAAGGGTGGATTCAGAGGTAAATCCCAATTGGGTCACTCTCATGACGTGAATGTCCTTCCAGCGTGTGCTAATTCATCTACAATGAAATATGGGAAAAAGATCGATAGTTATGCAAGTGAGATTGTTTTGGGCATAAAACTTTCTATGTTTATATTTTTCTATAACTTATTCTATTTTCTGCACTTCTGTTCTTTATTAATAACTTTTATTTTCTTTTTGCAATTCCTAGTTTTTAATGGTTTTCTATATTTTTCTGTAACTTTTGTTATTTTTCTTCATTTTCTGTGTTTTTCAATAGTTTTTGTTATATTTATTTTGCAACACTGTTTTTTCATATGTATAGAAAGGATAAAATGAAAGTTGCAATTTCTGTTTTTTCAAATTTTTATGTAATTTCTATTAATTTTATGCATTTTTGTGTTTTTGTTTAATTTCTATTTTATTTTCTGCAATTTCTATTATTTTTGTGTAATTTTCATTATTTTATCTAAATGGATTGAGTTGGATTGGATTAGGTTCAGGTGAGTTTGAGTTGAACTCAACCCATTTAATTCTATCTAATTGGGTTATTAATGGGTTGACGG